CTTGTTGCCTAAAAATGGCCATGTTATGCACGTGGGAGGTCTTAGCACAAACAAATCAAAAAAGATCATAGTCCCTCGATGACGCTATCAAAAGTGGCCTTTCAAAATGATCTTGGTCCCTAAAGTAAAAGTTCTAAGTCATCTCATAACATTATTATCATGGTCATACGATGACCCAACGCCTGTCCCTTCACATCCAACGATGGGTCTTACCAAATCAATGGTAAGATAGCTGCATCTAAAGGAGAAGGAAAAGCACGTTTAAGACCTTTCGAGTAGGTGGATTCGCTCCTAGTTAATCACTTGCTCACGACAAAAACAGATTCCAAAAACACATCTTTGAACTATTTTTGAAACAAACACCTTGTATGCGTTCTTACAGAAACGAGAACCATTACGAAATTCCATTTTCAAAAATACTTTCAAAACCCACACCACAAGCACATTCAAACAAAAGTAAGTGATCTAGCGAGTAACTAAGAGCCCATTGAAAACCATGGATGAAAAGGGTGATAATACCTTCCTTTTTCATAATCTACCCCCCGAACTCAAAAACATCTCTAAAGGTCTTTCCTGTGCTTTTTCACCTTTCCTTTTTGGATAAAAGAAAAGTCGGTGGCGACTCTTGCTATCCGCACAAATGCGATCAAAACGCAAAACACCAAGTCAGTTCTCCCACCGTATCACAGTAAGGTATATCCATCAGTGCGCTGCCAGCTACAGCGTCAATCGTTAGTCTTGTGTTATACAAGAGACTATTGTAAAAGGTGTGTATGATCAACCATTCTTCTAGACCGTGATGTGGACAAAATAGCAACATGTCTTTGTATCTTTCCCATGCTTCAAAAAGAGACTTTCTTTCCTTTTGTTTAAAATTATTGATATTGACTCTTAGCATAGTTGTCTTACTCGGTGGAAAATATCGCGCTAGGAAAACTTTCTTCAACTTATTCCATGTGTTAACAGTGTTGGATGGTATAGATTAGAGCCAAGATATAGCTCTATCTCATTATGGGAAAGGAAAAATATGGAGTCTTATTGTTTCAGGGCTGACACCATTTTCTTTCACAGTGTTTGTGTATTACACAAATATTGATAAATGAAGGTTTGGATCATCTGTAGGACATGGTGAAAATTGGTTTTGTTGGACCGCTTGCAATAACGAAGGTTTTAACTCGAAATCATTTTGAGCGATGGAGGGAGCAGCAATATTGTTGTGAGGCTCCTCTTGCAATGGGGCAGCATAATCCTTTAGAGGATGATTTTGGGGTCCTTCAGCTATACTAGGTTCAAGAAGAGAATAGTTGGGAAAAGTGGTTTCGGGAAGATTGTACTTAATCTGATATTCTCTAATTCGGCGCCTTATACTAACGAAGCGCTCAACTTCGTTGATTGGTTGCTCTAGATCTCCGCCTTGAGAGCGTGTAATTAGCATACAATCAACGGATAAAATAAAATAAAATTTGTTGCCTCAGTCTATACTGCGTAACACAAGATTAACATAATTGACTAAATCAGTCCCCGGAAAAGGCGCCAAAAACTTGATCGCGACTTTGAGAGTTTGTCGGGTGTAGTGACTGCAAGTGTACAGTCTAATCGTGTAGTTTTAAAAGATATCGAACCCACAAGGACTGATGGTCAAACTAATGTTATCTAGGATCACTGTGTAAAGCTAAGGCTAATGATAAGAGTTGGATGTTGGGGTTTAAACAGGAATTAACTAAGATCTAATAATTGATAACAGGACACCGGTATTTAATTTATCGACTTCAGGGATTCAATAAATCTTTGGCATAGTTTTAAGTATTAAAACATTATTTTAGTGGAAACTATTAATTTAAAAACCTTTGTCTCATACTCTCGTTCTATCGATTCAGGCCATATTATTAAACTCAAATGAGCACTCTCGCTGTTTCATTTAAAATTTAAAAGTATTTTTTGAAAATGAATAGAGTCCAATTAATTTTAAAGTGCTCTCGCTGTATTTAAAATTAATGTTCAACTACCACTATCTGGTTAAAATCTCAAACTCTCGCTCTGTTGATTTTATCCTTAGTTTGTCTTTTACTCTCGTAACAAAACAATTTAATATTAAAATTGGAAACCAAAACCAGAAAATTATTTTTGTAAATATTTATGCCAATTAATTATCGAACCCCTTCGGTTTATGACCTCACATACCGGTATTGGGATAGTTAGCGGAACATAGTTTTATTGTGTAATAACATAGAATAAATACATGCATACAATAATATAATCATGGTAAAATAAATAAACTGTATTATTTAAATTTGAAACCTGGAATAAAATAATGAAAGAATATACTGCAATATGCAATCCTCCACAAGCCGGTAGGATTAGCCTTGGAATAAAATAACTTGCAGAAAAATAAATAAGCCTAAGAAAAATTATGAAAGCTGACAAGGAAACTAATGGTGCCATACTCCTCCGGTGTAGAGAAATATTGCTTTAATGGTGATCGGTTCTTTCTGTTTAAGGAATTCTAAAACTAAAATAAAAAATGCTCAAATTTGTAAATTGGAATAATAATAATAATAAACTCAGTATGCAGAAGAAAAATAATTTCTAGAGAGGGCGAGAGAGAGAGAGAGAGAGAGAGAGATAGATAGTTTTTTGATAACTTCCTTGCTTTTATAGATTCCATTTGTTGAGGAGAAATAGGGACAATTACTTGATTCCCGTTCTACCTGCATGGAGGGAAAACCGGAGGAAAAAGTGTTTCTCGCGAAGACTTCGTAAGTAGCTGAAACAAAGAAGAGACTTTGTGCATTGTGGCGAGTGGCACAAATTTCATTACGTGGGGCATGCATTTCTTGTTTGTGCTGACCGTCAGGTATTGTGTGCCGAGGGGCACACATCCAAAAACTTATGCCGACCATCATGAAGTTGTGACGACCGTCACAGGCTTCTGATACAAATTCTTCTGTATTTTCCTGCTAAACTGCCATTTCTTCTTCATTTCTTCAATATTTTTCTTACTTTTCTCAAGTAGGCTTTGCAGAAAGTAAATACCTGAAACATACTACAAATAGAGACATAATGTAACATAACAGAAAATTTATCTATGTAAATCGGGCGGAATATGCTATGACTTTTCGTGTTATCATAAGGGCCCAAGTTCAGATATTGAACTGGGCCGAGTAGCGCAGAGGGGTACAACTTTGCATATGATATCCAGGATATGGAGTGTACTTAACAATGGGCTTGGCCCAAAATTGTGGGCGTTGGGAGGTCTGCAGGACAAGGTGTGGTGTACACACAGGGAGTTACAGTGTGTCACAAGTTTTGAAACGTTTGATCAAGATCAGAAGGTGTGGGTTGAGGGAGCACGGTAAGCGCATTGCAGCAAATATGGGGAAGGTTTATAAAAGTAAGTTTACGGGCATCAGGCCCATTTTTCCCCTTTCTTTCTCTTTCTACCCAAACACAACACAAACCCTTTGTACATTTCTAGAGATAGGGGCTCTGCCTTTTCTCTAGAATTTCACCGTGCCAAAAATCTCCCCACCGGTGACCTTCATACCAAATTCCAGAAACCACCTTAAACCACCGTGAATCTTCATCTGGGTTCTTATGAACCCTAAGGGTTCATGATGAACCCTAACCTCAAAACCCAAAAATCTTCAACAATGATGAACCCTAGCCCTAAAAGGATGAACTCTAACCCCAAACTTAAGAACCCTAACCCTAGTCTAACGAACCCTAACTCTAAGTCTCTAGAACCCTAACCCTAAGTATTAACCCCAAATTTCTAGAATTTCAAACCAAATACAAATAATATATTTAAACAAGCCCTGAGCTAAGTATTAGGCTTACCTCTCCGCAATGAACCTTGTCATATTAACACCTCTTTTGTCTTTCTGGTTCATCTTCCTAATCTTCCTCTTCTTCTCTCTGTTTTGCAGGTACGACGGATGATGACAGCGAAGATGCAGCCACGAGGATGAAGGTGTGGCGGCAGCGGAAGACACATCTAAGGGTTTCAGAAATTGAAACCCTAGATCTATGTGGCAAGGAAGCTTCAAGGAGACAAGTTCTTTGTTTCTTCTTCTTTATGTCTTCGTCCTCTCAATCCTCCTTTTTTTTCTCTTAGAATTTGCTAGGTTTATATAGGTTACCAATTTAGACAGAGTAGGAAATTTTCTATTGATTAGGCATTACAATTGTTGATTAGGGTGGATTTTTGAAATTGTCGTTAGATTTATAAGTTTTAGGAAATATTGAAGATTGTAATTGATTCAGATTTTTTAAAAGAATCTCATATTTGATTTTATTAGAAATTAGAGATTGTATTCTTAGGGTTTCTGTATTCATCAATGTATCCAGACGATTTTACTTGTATATTCTTATTATCAATACAAAAAATCTTCTATTTGATTTGTTTTGATTCAATATGGAATTATGGATCTGGGCCTCTTCTTGAGTTGTCTTAGTGAAGAAGAAAAAACAGTGAATAAGGGCAGCTCTTGTGTTTTTTTTAGAATTTAGGGTTTCTCTTCTAATTTTGACCCAAAAGTCAACAAAATAATTATTTCTAATAATAATAATGAATAAAAATAATAATAGAAATAATAATAATAATAATAATGTAATAATAGTAATAATTATATAATAAATACTGATTTTAAAATAATTTGAAAAAACAATACAGGTTGTTAATAAATGGGCCAACAATTTTAATAAATCACCAAAAATGCACAAAAGGCGCAAAATGGGCCTTACCCCTTTAATGGGCTTAAGAACTAAATACACATCCTCTTTAATTGTAAGGAAAACCGAATAGATCATCAAGTTTACATGGGCCTTTCTAATTTAGAAAGCCCATAAACCCCTTTATAAAAAACCCAACCCATCTTTAAGGTTTAACCCCCCCCCCCCCCCCCCCCCATCGAATTTATCAATAGTAATCTAAACCTTATAAAGAAAATGATAATAATAAAAAATAATTTAGTTAGAAATCAATAGGACAAATTTGGGGTATGACACCGGCTACTATAGAGGTTACCACCACATTCAACCATGGTTTCAATGATGATGATGCTGCTGACTTTCCTGTTTGGGAGAAAATTGGTGTTGTTGTGAGACTCAGTTATGGCATCAGTGAGAATTGTGACAATATCATGATGATCAAGTGTGGAACTTTATAGATCCTTTTTGTTTACTTTTATGAAAAATAAATCTTTAGCTAATTGGGCTAAGTAAAAAGGAAAACTTTATGTTTTTTTTATTTTGATTGAATCAATGTTTTTCCCAAATGGGAAATTTTTACTTTGTTTTTAGGGAATGAATTCATTTGAATTAGATTATTTTCTATATATGAATCAATTTGATTTTCAATGAGTAGTTTTGTTTCAGGGATTTACAACGCGATGGCTGTTGTGGGGAGTTTTATGTTCGATTATCGAAATCAACTCACTTGGAGGTTTTCATCTTTCAATAGATGTTTCTCTTCAAGGGCTTGGGTATGCAGTTCCTCCAACTATGGATCATCTTTTTATACTTGATGTAAGCTATTTTGTTTATAAAATAATCATAAGGTTGTGATTTTATTTGTTTACTTGAATTATGCTTTCGTCGACATGGTTATTATTAGGATGAAGTTGTGAAGCTATCACCTCATGCTCATGCCATTAGAGATGTAGAAGACGAAGAGCTATGGAGTTTTTTTATGGCATGTCTCCTTTGCAGGTAATTTGATATAACTTGGTACTTTTTGTATAATGAATTATCGTCGGTCTATTGCAACCGTTAAAATTGATGAAATTGATTTTAATTTACTATTTATACTGATTGTTGCTGCAAGTTTAGTAGGAGAGGAACTCTTCTATAAAGTTGCAGTTTAGGTTAGTTTCGAAACTTCTGTGCCTGAATTTTATCGTATTTTCCTAGAGATGTTTGAGAAATATATTTAGATTTGCTTCAAATTTGTATTTTATGTTTGAAACCATCTATATTGAAATTCTACAGGGGGCACTTGCAGATATATTTTTATGAGGAAATAATCTTATTCAAGATGTACGAGGAATGGCGTCTTTGGTATGTCTACCATTTTCTTTATGTTTCAAATATTTGAAACTAAGTTTCATTTCGGTAACTAACTCGCAATTTATACAGTAATATGTAGACATGAGTTCTACCACCATTTGTTCCATTTGCTTAAGCACTCGCAGTTGTACTTACTGTTATCCTTACTAGTTCTCTCTATTATGTAACTGCCTCTCCTAAAGGTTAATTTTTCGTATATCCCATTTTACATTTTCTCTCTTTTATGTAGCTATTTTTTTCAAGTTTGTTCTTAGCTTGCTTAATAATAACCATCTTTTTTCTCGCGCTCTTACAGATCTTACCTATATTGTTGCGTCGGTTTTACAATCCCGCACAATTCGTTAAGATTTGAAAAAGCTCTTCGAAGGTTCTATTATTTTCTCTCAAATTGTTGAATATTATATTCACTTCATATCTATGTTCCACTTCTTCATCCATAGAATCGTATTATATGTAAAATAAAGTCTCGAGTGAACTTCCTTCCATTTAAAATAAAATAGAATCATTTCTATATGTAAAATAAAGTTTCTCTGCTAGGAGGAAACATAGCAGAGAAACTTCCTTCCTTAAGTGAACTTGAGTTAAGAGAATGTCCTCTACTAGTGGAGTCAAGACATTCGGTTAATAATAGAAATTTCATAATTATAATTCCATCATTAGATGTATTCAGTTAATTGATGCTCCCCTCTCAATACTCTTCGACAGTTGACCATAGAAGGCTTACCATCTCTGACGTCTTTCCCGACCGACGGTCTACCCAAAACCTTGAAATTTCTCATTATAAGTAATTGTGAGAATTTGGAGTTCCTTCAGCGTGAATCCTTGCACAATTACACATCATTAGAGGAATTGAAAGTTTGTTATAGTTGCAATTCAATGATGTCCTTTACCTTGGACTATCTCCCTGTCCTCAAGAGTCTATTTATCGAGGTTTATAAAAATCTGAAATCGATATTAGTTGTAGAAGATGCGCCACAAAAGAGTCTCTCATTTCTTAGAAGCATAAAAATATGGGATTATAATGAACTGGAGTCATTTCCCCCAGGTGGATTGATCACTCCTAACCTTATTTATTTTGCAGTGTGTAAGTCTGAGAAGCTTCCTTCACTATCAGAAGCATTGAACACTCTAAGTGATCTTCAAGAAATGGCAATTGATAATCTACCCAATCTTCAATCTTATTTCATAGATGATTTGCCTATCAATTTATAGGAATTGACTGTTGACTCTATTGGTGGGATTATGTGGAACAATGAACCAACTCGGGAACATCTCACTTATCTTTCCATGTTGCGAATTAGCAGCGATGATATGGTGAACAAGCTGATGGTTCCATCGCTACATGCATATCTTATGACACTACGTATTAGTGATTTTAATAATACAAGAATTGATGGAAAGTGGTTTCAACATCTCACCTCTCTCTGTAACATTGTGATTGTTAATGATCTCAAACTCAAGTCGTTACCAAAAGAGGGATTTCCTTCCTTTCTTTCTGTACTAAATATCACTTGATGTCCTTTACTGGTATCAAGTTTACGGAGGAAGCGAGGGAAAGAGTGGCGTAAGATTGCTCACATTCCCTCCATAATTATCGACGACAAATTAATCACATGATTATCCTGTCCAGATGAGTTTCTAAAATACTTTTTTTTCATTTCATTCTTATCATGTCATCATTTAATATTGTTAAAGTCTACATTAACATCAATATATAATATCACATCATCAACTACTAACTCATTTTTTAACCATAGAATTATGCTCTGTCACCTCTGCTTGTGCCCAATCTTCTTGTTGTAAGAAGCCAAACTCCTATGCACAACCTGCAACCAAGTCCATTAAATGTTTTACTAATCAGGAATAGATGAAAAGAAAAAATGACAATTGACTACAAATATGTTGGAGAATCTTTTTGTCTATATGACTTCATGTATATTTTATTGAGTTGGTTATAATTTTTTGTTTTTAATTTATATCAAACTTTTGTAATGTGAGTTAAATTCTTATCTATTCTATTATTCTAATAAATATATTTTAAGCATTTCCAAATTATTGTGTTCATTTAACTATCCATACCTAATATATTTTCCCTCATGTTTGGTCAATTAGAATTCTTTCCTTGAGAAAGGTTCCTTTACCCTTCATTCCCATGTATGACTCGTACATATAAAGGTGTAGCTTCTTTTATCAACCTTTTCTCTCATATTTTTTTATAAATATGGAAAATGTTTATAAATGTGAATTGCATCATAGGAATATGTTGTCATGATCCTGCGTATTTTTGTGTTTCTGATACATCAATCTGATAATCTATTTCATTTTGGTTTACAGCATGGTATGAGAAAAGGCAAATGAGAAAAATCTATTCACCACTTCTGGAAGGACTATTGACTCTCTACCTCAGTTTCGAGTGGATCGAAGTAATGATTTTATCTTTGAAAAATATCCATTATCTTTTGTCTATGATTTCTAAGCAACTAAGTTGATATGTGTTACTTGATAGACAAATAATACTCTTTCTCTCTTTATCACACATGAAATTTACTTTACTGTTAAATTGGGACATGGCCTTTAGAAGATACACGATCACCGACAAAAATTACGAAAAAAAATTCAGCAGCTGAAATCAGAAGAAAGAAATTCCAACTAGATTTTGAAATTTCATCCATGACTGATTTTTTATGGAAAATCTGTATATGTATTAGAGGTGTTAATAATGTAAAGAGAATATGTGTATACTTGTATGTTAGTTGAGTTCTCATACCTATCGAATATGCAAAGTTTTGATTATAGAATTCTCTAATTGAATCATTAGTGTTTGTAATAAAAATTAGAATAATCCAAAAATTGTGTTAATTTAATAAAACAACATATAAATTTTCTCAACTGTCAACATGACTTCTAATCTTCATAATGATATTATATTGTTGAAAATAAAAATTATATTCAATAGTTTTTAATATATTTGATTTATAAATTGATTTTAATCAATTATATTAAATAGTTATTACTAATTGAATTATATAATTTGCTTGAATATTTCTTCACTATAACTTGTCAATTTAAGATTTTTATTATTATAAAATATTTTTATTATCATCAAATATTTTTAAAAAATGTTATTCTTATAGACGGGCTAAGTTTACTATTGATTCATATATTTTTACAAATAATATCAAAACAAAAATAATATTTATTATTTTTATAGACGGAAAAAATATAGGACAAAATTTAGGTACAATTCTCTAGGTGTGATTCTTACTATTTTCTAATGAAAATATGACAAGTGTATATTTTCCTCTTACATATATGCAAATTACTTCTATTTTTACTCCTTAAATGATATTCGAGCATACTTGTCATATTTTTATCGTCAAAATATTAAATATTAACGAGAACGTGAAATTATTGATTAAAATATTTTTCATTAATTATGCATTCAATTAATTTTTTTAATGATCATTAAAAATAATAACATTTTTAAAATTCAATGTTATCATTTATAAAAGTTATAATAAAAAAAATTTAATGTTTTCATAAAGAAAGTATATCAGTTTTATGAAAACATTTATTAAAATAGTATTTATGAAAGTCAATGTTACCATTAATTTTTATTATTATTATATTTTAACTTTATTTATACTTTTATATAATATATTAATTATTATTAAATATTTTGTTTTAGTATAAATTTATTTTTAATATAAATGCGCGTAATACAATAATATCTATGCAAACGCACGAGTATCCTACTTATTATTATTATTATTATTATTATTATTATTATTATTATTATTATTATTATTATTATTATAAATGAACCCGAGTTATCATTCAAACTTTTCAAATTTATTTATTAATTAATATAATTAATAAGGTTAGATCTAAGACCTTTTCTCACCTTTTTTTTGTCAAAAAAAAATCTCTTCTCAATTAAAATCATTAATAACATGGCATCCATTGAACAAGAAAAAACATTAATTTGTTAAAATTTACAAAAGAGAAAACCTATCATTAAAGCGAAAGATATTACAAAAGAAAAAACATTAAATATATTTTTATGCGAAATATTGCAATCATCTATTAATAGCAACAAGAACAAGTATCCGTTTTATAATTCAAATTTCACATTAAAAAAAATAAAAAAATGTTTTTTAATATAACACATTAATATAAAAAATATTTACATAATTCTTTTTTTTTTCAAAATTGAAATAAGATATCAAGTTTACCAAATTTAAAATTGGAAAATATTTGTATTTTTAAAGTTAGAACTGTGCAATTATGAATAATAAATAATTAGATTACTTTCTAAAACGGTTCATAGAATACTGTTAAACCGTTGTTATAAATATAGTAGAGCTATCAATGTTCTCTCTCTCTTTCACCTATACTCTATCTTCTTATTTTTGAATTCGTGTTTCTTTAGTTAAAGAGTACTGTTTTTCTGTGTAATTGAAAGCATAATGTGGTCTGCAAAACATTCATTTTTCTTAGAATTCATCACTATTCTTTTTTCTCTGTTACATTCATCTGTTTTAGCAGAGAAAAAATCTTACATAGTGTACCTGGGATCACATGATCATGGTGAAGGAGTTACAGAAGCAGATTTCGATCGAGTTACATACACTCATCATGAATTCCTTCAATCTTACGTTGGAAGTTATGAGAAAGCAAAAGAGTCCATGATATATTCTTACACAAGGAACATCAATGGCTTTGCAGTAATTCTTGATGAGAAAGAAGCTGCTGACATCGCAGAACATCCAAACGTTGTGTCAGTGTTGTTAAACCGAGGTAGAAAGTTACACACGACACGCTCGTGGGAATTCATGTCAATGGAACACAATGGTGTTTCACCAACTGGATCCATCTTTAGAAAAGCTAGATATGGAGAAGATACAATTATTGGGAATCTTGATACTGGTGTATGGCCGGAAAATCCAAGCTTTGGAGATCACGGGATAGGTCCAATTCCTTCGAGGTGGAAAGGAACTTGTCAAGGAGATGATCTTTCTATCGGCTTCCGTTGCAACAGGAAGCTGATAGGAGCAAGGTACTTCAACAAAGGTTACTTGGCCGATGCAGGTTCAGATGCGAAATATAACAAAACACTTAACACTGCAAGAGACTACGAAGGTCATGGATCTCACACGTTATCAACAATAGGAGGAAACTATGTTTCTGGAGCTAATGTTTTCAGCTTTGGAAATGGAACTGCAAAAGGTGGTTCTCCGAAAGCAAGAGTTGCGTCTTACAAAGTATGCTGGCCACCGATTATTAAAGACGAAGATTGTTATGATGCTGATATCATAGCCGCTTTTGATATGGCTATTCATGATGGAGTTGATGTTCTATCTCTTTCTCTTGGTAGTGATGCTGCTGAATATTTTGAGGATGCTCTTTCAATTGCTGCATTTCATGCGGTTAAGAAAGGTATCACTGTGGTATGCTCAGCTGGAAATTCTGGACCAAAACCTGGAACTGTTTCAAATATTGCACCTTGGATATTAACCGTTGCTGCAAGCACCTTAGATAGAGAGTTTTATGCTTCTGTTTCTCTCCTTGATGGACAAAGCTTCAAGGGTGCTAGCTTTTCTAGTCCTTTGCCAGAGAACAAGTTTTATCCATTAATCAGTGCTGCTGATGCAAAACTAGATGAAGCATCTGTTGAAAACGCTGCTTTGTGTATTAATGGAACTATTGACCCTAAGAAAGTAAAGGGAAAAATATTGGTTTGTCTTACAGGTGTTAATGCAAGAGTGGAAAAGGGTCTTTCTGCTTTGGATGCTGGTGCAGTTGGAATGATTCTTTGTAATGACAAGCTTAATGGGAATGAAATTGATAATGATCCTCATTTTCTGCCAACCTCACACATTGCTTATGAAGATGGTGTTGCTGTTTTTGCATATTTAAATTCAACTAAGAATCCACTAGGTTATATTCATCCAGCTATAACCAAGTTGAACAAACAGCCTGCTCCAAGCATGGCTGATTTCTCCTCTAGAGGTCCCAACACAATCACACCAGAGATTCTCAAGCCCGATATAACCGCGCCAGGTGTGGACATTATCGCTGCCTATTCAGAAGGAATCAGCCCTACCGAGTTGGCGATCGATAAACGCAGGGTTCCTTTCATGACAATGTCCGGAACATCCATGTCATGTCCTCATGTGGCGGGAATCGTTGGCCTCCTCAAGACTCTCCATCCTGATTGGAGTCCGTCGGCTATTAAATCTGCTATCATGACAACAGCTAGAACGAGGGACAACACTGCTAGACCAATCCATGATCATGTTAATAGGAAGGCAATACCGTTTTCCTATGGATCAGGTCATATTCGACCGAACCGCGCCATGGATCCTGGTTTGGTCTATGAGTTGAACATCAATGATTACCTAAACTTTCTTTGTTTCTTTGGTTATAATCAGACACAGATTAAGATGTTTTCTGATACACATTACCGTTGTGAAGATATAAACATCATGGATTTCAACTACCCTACAATAACAATACCTAAACTATATGGTTCGGTTACTTTGAGTAGGAAGGTGAAGAATGTTGGTTCAGCAGGCACATACACTGCAAAACTTCGTGCCCCAGCTGGAGTTTCCATATCTGTGAAGCCTAAGAAATTGAAATTTGAGAAGATTGGTGAAGAGAAGAGTTTTAAATTGACGGTTGAAGTTACTAGATCAGGTGTGGCTACTGCGTTTGGAGGGTTAACTTGGACAGATGGTAAACACTATGTTAGGAGTCCAATTGTTATTGGGGGAGTCAAAGGTTAGAAGTTTAGGTTATTTATTATCAGATTTATGTAAAAAAAATCATGCATAATATTGCACACATATTTCTTTTTGCAAAACATTACTTCAAAACTCATTTGCACTGGTAACAACTTCCAACCAAGCCTGAGAATGCAAGTTTATTTACGTTTGTCAACTATTTTCAAACCAAGCCCTCCCAACCACTTAGGTTTAATAATTGTATCGCAATTCACAATATGATTCTTCTTTTTCTCCTTCGTATCTCCCGAAATGAAATTACGTTGTAAACAATGAATTTCACCAATACAAGCCTTAGGAATTATATCTGTCATCATATGATAAATTAGGATATCTTCCATGACACTTTTTCGCTACTGTCACTCTTCCCATAAAAGAAAATGCTTCGCCTTCTAAGCCATAAGCTTAGAACTAATCTCATCAACAATATATTGAAAATTCGAACACTTAAGAGCTCTACCACTAGGCACACCAAGATACTTTCTGTTCTGGACTGGGCTTGACAGGCCCAATAGCATTGCTAAGGCCCAATCCAAATGGACTTGTTGAGGACCACGCCGACCAAAGGGTCACAGTCGTGCCCGACGTACTCCCTGAGGTCACGTGCTCGACCTCTACATCTTCAGCTCGACATCCTGCTGTCCAGTTCGACATCACCTCGAGCACCCCCAACTAGGGCAGACTCAGTCCACTACACTCCCAACGAGACCCCGAAAAGACCGCGTCTCCGTCCGCCCGCACTTCACGCAGAACATCCAGGAGGGGGACCACGTGCGGGTCCCCACTACGCACGTAGAACCTGGCAGTTCCCCCATTGGGCCAAACCTGCCCGGCCCAACGGAGGAACCTTGGCCCAGCACTGGGGGCTATAAATACCCTCTGTTTCCAGAGGGTCAGGTAATGATCATTCTACCCATACACTTGCTATTACCTGCTCGTGTTTCTACTTACTTCAGCATCGGAGTGTCTTGCAGGTACCCCCCACCTCGTTCAAAAAGCTTTCAGCTCGGAGCCAGCCGTGACGGTCCATTTCTGATCAGGTCAGATCAGTGGCGCCGTCTGTGGGAATCTAGCTTCCCCGTCTTACAAACAACTCAAAAGACCAAAGCTCAAAATTCAACTACCTGTCATGGCTGATCCAGCTCGCGATGAGCAGAACGTCCGTGTCGCCGACACCAATAACGGCACGGCGGACAAAAACGGACATCTCGACAACATCGACAATCCCGACCATAACACCGCTCCTGCAACAACCGTCCTCGGAACTTCCTCGCACAGGGACGGAGCCACAGCATCATCCTCCTCGCTCCCACCACCACTCGAGGACGACCCGACGGCCCTCGCCCACTACAGAGCCGTCCGGTTTCAGGAAGTCCCCGTCCCCCCCGGGGCAGATGCCACCACACAAGCGCTGTTCGCAGCAATTAACCAAACGAACTATCTCATCTTCGCCCAAGGAGAGAGATTAAAGGCGCTTGAAGACGAGCGAAGACCCTCGAGGAGGCATCGGAGACCACATACTCCCCCTCCTCGGGTGACTGAAGCCCGACACCCTTCTCCCCCGCGGAGACACTACAGGGAAAACTCCAGAAGCCCTTCTCCCCGGCCAAAGCAGAGGCGACCATATTTGGAGAGAGATCCCATCATCCCCGCCGGAGAACCCAGTCGCGACCCGGCGAGGCACGACAAGAGACACGCCGGGGACGGGCGTGTAACATTCAACCAGCGAGCATCACGCTCGAGGGAGACTCAGCACGACCACCGTGCCATACAATACTACAGGTCCCCATCTCTGTCTCCGGAGAGGAGCGACGAGGACGACCCCCGCGGTCCCCTGTCGCAGGCCATCATGGATGCACCCATCCCCCCGGGCATGGAGAAGCCCCCACATCTGAAGGAGTATGACGGAGTTGCGGACCCGGTCGACCATATTGACGGGTTCGAGGTCATGCTCCATTATCATAATGTCGGGGGCCCCATCAAGTGCCGTCTTTTCCCCACGACTCTCAGGAAGGCGGCCATGGACTGGTACAAAGGACTCGCCCCGGGCTCAATCACCTCGTGGCGGAACCTGAAGAACCAGTTCATCAGTTCCTTCACCGCTTCTCGACGCCATCCAAAGACCGAGGCGGCGCTCGAGGCCATCATCCAAAGACAGGATGAGACCTTGAGGGAGTTCATCAACCGCTTCAACCGAGAAGCGATACAGGTCCCCTGCACGGACCACATGAAGAGATATCTGCTGGAGAGGGGGCTCCTCCCCGACACAGAATTCATAAAAGCCGTGGGAATCGAGCCGCCCAGGTCTTTCGACGCCCTCCTCGATAAAGCTCGAGCATATATGGATTACGAGGAGAGGGAAGCTGCCAACAGGGCCCGAGACTCCAGGACTCGGGGTCCCAACAACAGCAGCAGCTCACGCCAAGAGGCTCCTCCCCGACGTACCGGGGAGAAAAGGAAAGAAGACCGACCCCGGGAAGTCCGGGAACAAAGGGGCCCCTCGGGCCGTTTCATCGAGTACACTCCGCTCACAGCTTCCCGCGAGCGTATTCTGGCGGAATGTGCCAGTACCGACTTCAAGGACGGCGGCGTCAAGCGTCCCCGGCCTGCTCCCGCCAAGCCAGGGGCGGACAAAAATAAATACTGTCAATACCATAGGAGTCATGGTCATCTAACAGAGGACTGCGTCCACCTCAAGGACGCCATTGAAACCCTCATCAAGGGAGGGAGGCTCGCGCAGTACAGGCGAAACGACGCTCCTCGCCGTGACGCCCATGAAGCCAAGGAGCCAGAAGAAGACCCCCGACCATCAGACGAGTCGGTGCCTATCCAGACCTCCTTCTCGGTGACTAGGCCCGAGGATTTCGACTTTCCCGAGCACCTGCAGGAGCCGCTGACAACGCACAGCAGGTGGGAATACTTTCCCTCCGCCATGGTCATTAATGGGGGCGGGTTCAACGACCTCACCATCAATTCAGCTAAGAGGAAGTTGGACGAGCTGGTCGACGCGGCTCCCCCGCAAACAGTAACCTTCGAAAGGGTGAAGGGCAGGTCTGAGCCCATCACCTTCTACCTAGAAGAGCTCCCCGGTGGAGCCCCGAACGCGGTCATCCCCTTACTGATAAGGGCAAGAATGGCTAATTTCGACATGCATCGCATCCTGGTCGACGAGGGGAGTTCCGTCGACGTGATGTACATCCAACTTTTCAGAACCCTACAGCTGGACGACTCACATCTCTCTCCGTATGTGGGGTCGGATCTACAAGGCTTCAACGGCTCGACTTCCAAACCTTGGGGTTATGTCGAGCTCCTGGTTACGTTCGGCGAAGGAACGGCTACGAGACAAGTTAAAGTCCGTTTCCTGTACAATTGCATCTTGGGGAGACCGACACTGGCAGAACTAACAGCGGTGCCCTCGACCGTCCATCTGAAGATGAAGTTCTACACCAGGAGGGCACGGGTAGCCACCATCCAAGGAGACCTAGCCGCTGCCCGTAGGTGCTTCAACGCTGCTTCTAAGGGACGGGATACCGTCGACATAGGGACCAGACCCGCTAAAAGGATAAAACAGGAGCCCGACAGGAAAGCATCCCCCGAGGAAGAAGTCCAGAAAGCTCCACCAAAGGTCGACTCCATAGCCCTCGACACCCGCTTCGATCAGGACGAGCCATCCAGCAGCGAGCAAATCCCACTCCGACCAATACCGGACAGGGATTTTGAACTCGTTCCCCTCGGCACAGACCCGACCAAGGGAGTGAAGATTGGCAAAGACCTCCCCGACTTGGCCAGGAAGCAAATCAAGGCCTGTCTGCGCGAGAATGTTGATCTCTTCGCCTGGAGCGCCGCGGAGATGCCCGGACTCGACCCTGAGGTCGCCTGTCACCACCTCGCCATTGATCCAGCCGCTAAGGCCGTAGTACAACGTAGGCGTAGGCAGTCTCCAGAAAAAACGGAGGCTGCTGAAAAAGCTGTAAAAGACCTCCTAGTGGCAAATTTTATTTCTGAAGCCCGGTATTCCACCTGGCTGTCAAATGTTGTACTCGTGAAAAAGAATAATGGAAAATGGAGAATGTGCGTTGATTATACTGATCTCAACCGGGCTTGCCCGAAAGATGCTTTTCCCTTGCCTAACATAGATATGCTGGTCGACAACTCGGCCGGCTACAAAACTTTGTCGTTCATAGACGCCTATTCGGGCTACAACCAAATCCCAATGGCCCTGGGCGACAAACACTGCACGGCATTCATGACCAGCTCGGGCAACTATTACTACAACGTAATGCCCTTCGGACTGAAAAATGCCGGCGCAACTTACCAATGCATGATGAACAAAGTTTTCAACAAACAGATAAGCGACATGCTCGAGGTATATATGGACGACATGATCGTTAAATCTCGAGCGGACACCGACCATGCTGCCCATCTTAAGACAGTCTTTGCCCAAGCAAGACAGTGTAAAATGAGGTTCAACCCCAAGAAATGTACGTTCGGGGTTAAGGCAGGAAAATTCCTTGGATTCTATCTAACAGAACGGGGAATCGAAGCCAACCCCGACAAATGTCGGGCGTTCTCCGACCTCCCAACACCGACATCGAAGAAGTCGATACAAATCATGAACGGCATGCTCACGTCGCTGTCCCGCTTCGTCGTAAAATCCGCTCATCACGCCCTCCCCTTCTTCAAACTCCTTCGAAAGGAAGCAGCCTTCGAATGGAATGAGGAATGCGAGCAGGCGCTACGCCACCTAAAGCAAAGCCTGTCTCAGCCGCCCGTGCTATCTCGACCAGACGACGGGGAACCACTGTACTTGTACTTGGCCGTTTCGAACGAAGCCATCAGCGCAGCTCTTGTCCGCGAGACCCCCGACGGGCAGAAACCCGTCTACTTCACGAGCAAGGCCTTACAGGGGCCCGAAAGCAGATACCAGCAGATAGAAAAGGTTGCTCTGGCCCTCGTCAACGCGGCGAGGAGGCTCAGACACTACTTTCTGGCCCACACCATCA